GAAAATACATATATATATCCCTTTCAAAGCTCTTATTTCAATAAGCCATTAATTTCTGGGTTAGACTGTGTGTTAAAGTGCCAAAAAATTCATTGACAAGGATGATATATTTCATTCAAAACAAGTAAACCTAGCAGGAAAAAAATAACATCTTTAGCCTGAAGAAATCTTTCTAACACTTGTTTGTAATCCCTTTGGTTAAAAGGTATACATTCATGCTTTTTATCCAACATTTCAGAAAAAGAAGCCGACAAAACCACTGAAAATATTTCCATCCACTTCAATGATTCAGAAAATCCAATGAACATAACAAAAATCCTTTTAAAATCTCTATTCAAACCAAATCTTCTAGGATGCATTTAGCACCTGCAACGACACTGAGAAACTGTGACTGAAGGGTCTCTGGACCCAGCAAGTGCTGTTAACCATGTCGTGCTGCTGGAAACTGAGGCACAGAGACTAGGAGCCTGTTCATATTCGTCAAACATAGACAGATTTTTATTATTTCTTTTTAGCTGTTTCTAAATGATGATCTATCACACGCACACATTTCTTTGACACTAGAAGAAAGGTAGCTCAATAAGTTACTTGGTATGTCTCCCATTCAACTCTAAGTGCTCATCTTTAGAAGTCTCCCGCAGCTCCCAGGGAATTGGCAACTAATGAAGTCAAAGAAATACTGGGGTTCATTAAGCACGCAAGCACTCTGCTGAAAATCAAAGATCAGCCTGGTACCCCTTGAACATATCATAGTTACCATTAAAAATCATCATAGTATTTGAGGTTAGTAAAACATATTGCTTAGGCTATAAAACATTCTAAACTAGTATCCCAAATGTCTTGCCTCAAGCAAGCACTTAAATTAAAGTTTCAGACAGCTGGCACTGGAATCAAAATAACAGTTTTGCACAAAGAGATTGGATAAACATGATTATTGTTTTCATAATTTATTTTGTCAATGCGCAGCATCGTGCCTCGATCCATCCTTTGTACTTGGGCATGATTTCTCTCTTTTCAACAGGTAACTATATATTTCATGTGGATTTTTACAGAAAACAATCCCAACTGATCTGCTGCTCTTGAATAATCTAATCCCTAATTAGTTGAGTCTGAACACTAAAAAGGCAGTATTGTGTGCTTTAATTAATTTCCATAATCTGGAATTTTTGTCTGCTTGCCTCATGAGATTGTTTGGTTTTCAAGGAGAGTCTAACACAAAAATATCACTTCTTCACCTATGAAAAAGATGGCAGTGTTCTGGGTACTCAATACAGCACAACTGCAACAAACCCATAGGTCTTAATTAAGACTAAACCCATTTCCTATTTACCTTCAGTGACGATTTTAAAATGCTCTTCCTGCATTTATTCCTCGTCTCTTCCATGTTCTGAACATGGTTTGCTCCCCTTCAAGTTCCTTAAGCACAGACCTTCCAACCATGCAACATGATTTAAAGTATAGGAATATAGTGCCAGAAATCCTATGCAGCTACCTCTTACATAAACACACATTTTCAGACACAGATCCCCCAAACATTTCACATTTAAAACTCTCTTCCAAAGCCAAAACGTGGCTTCTTGAGCAAATCTCAGAAAGATTTCTGCAGTATTTTATCCACGCGGTTAGCCAAGAAAAGATCTTCTCTCAAAATCATCAAATCGTGACACACACAAAAGGAACTGCAGTTAGGAGAAGCTCCAGCTTTGCAGGCATAGAAAAGCCTTGCCACATTGCTGGAGTGTAAAACCATTGTCATGATTCACGTTGCTTTCTGCTACCGTTCTGCAACTACTTTTTAAAGAAACGTTATAAAATGTTCAGAAGGATTCGAGTTTTGACAACTACTTTGCTTGTAGACCCCTTTGAATATTGTCACTGCAGATCTCTCACCCAAATGAGAGTCTAAACCATTGCCTTGACGGGAACTGAGCTCCCGTGCTTCAGTTCACACAGCTGTAAAGTGGAGATATATTTCTGCATTTTATATTTTATATATTCACTGCTTCACAGGGCTGTTCTGGAGCTCGTGAGCACATATAAATTGCTTTGACTCATTCTGTTGAAAGTATCCCACGGACAAAACAGATCTTTCTCACAAATATAAATTAGGAATTATCTCCCTTGTACTCAGAAGGGTTAGTGTAAATTATTACACGTGCGGGACTGAGAGCAAAACTTGTCCCTGTTTATGCAAACTACTTCTATGGTTTCTGCTAGCATGAAAGGGGGTGAGCTGTTCCGGCTATCGTGAAAAGGATTTCTCAAGCCAACACAGGCCAACCAGGTCCATTTTGAGGTTGCCCTTTGCTTTCTCACCTTGTGGAGCTGTGACCACCAGGGCCTCAGAAGATGTAATCAACCTTTCAGCTTCAGGAGAAAACCCATTTCCTACCACCTGTGCCCTAACCAGACCTCAACTGGTCTCAGCTCTCCAGAGGTCAGCACATTAGGACACTGTCCCATTGCACGCAGAACTTCATGCACTATTCAGAGGAGGAACAAGATGCAGAAAACACAAGAAATTTGCCAGTACTGATGTTTAGCTCCTCTCTTTCCTTCCTTGAACATATCTCTGCTGCTTTTAATTAAGTTCTCAGATTCATAGCTCGGAGATCTTTAATAACTACAGAAAGTGCTTGCAAGGCAAATTTTTCACTTCTAAGAAGGATGGTTATAATAAATGCTACCCTCTAATTTATAGGTAAACTTAACCTGATTTTACCTTTATTGCAATACATTGCATGGCCATTTTCATGCAATAGACTGATGACATAAAAGATTTTAACTTTTATTAATAAATGGTGAAAACGTTGGATGGTATGCCTCCAACACACTGTAAGTATAGTGCCTGCTGATTAATTAATCTAATTAACAAAGGTGAAGGTTTATAATTGGGGTTAACTAGAATTTAACTGGTCATTGTTCATACCCCCCACTGCATTGTCCCCTAAGTAACTCACTCTGGTAGCCCTCCACGGTCCCTCGACCCCAACTTCAAATCCAGGGATCAACCAGCTTGAAGGAAAAGTATATACAATCATATTTCCAAGACTGTAATAACAGCAGAACTTAATGGTGTGATATTTTTATACTGTTTGGGAAAGAGACCCTATTTTTTCTTACTCATAAGCCCAGAGTATTTTTAAATAGTTCAAGTCCCTGTAGTACTTCACAGTTTGCAGCGCAGTTTAAAAAGTAATACATCTTTTCTTAGATGTACCCCAGATTCTGCCTTTTAATAGACATGATAATGAGATTCTGTGTCTTCATTTCCCAGTGTGCAGAAAGCTCAAATAAATCTTTGATTGTTCACAACCCTGGAGAAGGCTCCCAAGCCCAGGAATGTAATGATGTTTCTCTAAACAATCATTGCTAATGAAATTTAAGTGTATTTAAAATATATAGATGTTTGTGTGTATATATATTAGTACTATCAGAATTGCTTTTCATTCCTTTTACTTTGTAAATTTGTATCTGTCTGCAGTAAACTTAGCTCTCAAGGGATTCGTTGCTAGGAGAAGGGAAGTCCCAAGTTATTTCACTGACCTGCAAGACACACATTGAACTTCTGCTTTTGAGTGAACTTTTAAAGCGTTAGAAGAGCCATTTGGTGACTTTTTCATAAGATTAGGGACTGCATCCCTAGACCTCTATCAAATGCATCAGAGAGCAGAATGCAGTCCAACTGTACAGCTTTGGAAGGATGTCATAAGCTCAGACCTCACAAGGTTCAGGAAAACATCACCCAATATCAGTCAAAAGACACGGATAAACCTCTGCCTGCCTGTACATGATCTGGACACCTCTGAACCTCTTTGTCACAAGTGTAACACTCTGGTTTCCTTTGGCTATTTGAGGTGCTCAAGTAACTACTTCCCAAAATAGGGAACAGTTTTCAGGAAGGGAAATTGAACAACCATCAGCATTTACCTGTTGAGTCATCATTCTGCACAGACTGCTGAACACAATTATTGATGTTCAGCAAAGACAAACATAACATACTCGTGCTCAGGAAAAAATGCTAATGCCTTACACCTTCAGTCATTGTTAAATTTGCTTTGAAGGGAATCCAGACTTAACAACATTGCTTGTTTTATTTCAGGCTACCATTGTTACCATAACACTACCAGTTTGTTTTCACTCCTTTTGCATATATCAGCTGTTTTCTCCTGAAAATATGTATCTCACATTCCTGAATTTTACCAAAAACTTACACTCTTCAGAAAGGTTGCAGTAAAAGCATTTACATTATCATGCAATCTATGTCACAAAGAGGCCTGACAAGACTTTGGATATCACCAACTTCTAGAAGTTATAGCATAAAGAGACTAAGAGAAAATACCAAATTAAAATATTGTCTATAGGCAGAAAAGAACCCTGAACACATAAGGTGGAAGAAGAAAGCATAGGGAAAGCTCTGTAGACTTCCCTCCCTAGAGGCCTGCAAATCTCAAGCAGCATCTACCGTGGCCATTTCACTCCCACATTCTCAGTCTCAGGTGGAGATTAGTAGTGTGAATTCATTGATTAGCCCCACCATCACTCAGTTCTCACGTTTCTTTTCCTCACCTCTCCTTTCCATCACTGAACACAATCTTTAGAAATCACATCTACAAACACTTTCTCGGTCAGAAAATAATTCCCTCCTCCTCGTAGATTTACGTACATTTTGTAGGTAGTTGCAGTATATATTTTCTCATAAGTAAGTTTTCCTTTCCAAGTACAAAAATTCTCACTATAGGACTTAGTGCTGAGCTACTGTTCTTGGTTCTAATGCAAAGAGAGCCAGATCCTTAGCGGGAGCGAGCAGGCATTACCTTACAGCCTCTGTTACACCTTCACCTGTGAAGAGGCTGCCTTTAGCCACAACAGTCTTTCAGATGCTTTTGGCATAAATAGTGTCTCTTTCTACTTAAACAGTAATAGACATCGAGACTCAACAAGATCAAATCAAGGCTGTAGGCTTTACAGCAAGACTTAATAAGGTAGACAAGGATTACCTGTTAACTGGGAAACTGAAGAATACATTTCTTCAACCTTGGATAATGTTTCTCTCATTTCTTCATCCCTTTTCTTTTGTATGTGGCCTAAAAATGAACCAGAAAAAGGCAATCATGGAGGGGAGAAGAAAAAGGGTGAAAAAAAGAAAAAAAAGAAAAAAAAAAAGTACCCCAAAAGCCAGTTAGCCATTAGAAATCTGCTGAATAATCATGGGAGCCATAGCTAACTACTGCTTTCTAAGCCAATATGCCCTGAGAGTCTTGAACTCAGACATTCCAAGGCAGCTAAGTTAAGGCCCCATCCTATTTGGCAAGCAGCTGCAGCCTCTTGTTAATTAACAGCATATTCCTGACTTGGTCCAGCTTGTATGGATGAGAAGGTGTTTCCCAAGGAAATCAGAGTAGGAATAGAATAGGGAAAAAGGGGGGGAAAAAAGAAGAAAAAAAAAAGAAGAAAAAAAAAAAGAAAAAAAAAAAAGAAAAAAAAAAAAAGGTGAGTTCAGGAGGGCAATGAGGCGGGGGTTAACAACGCTGCTTAAGATCAAGGGCTGAAGTGCTGAGATGCTGCCAGACTTGAAAACTTTAATTTACTGTCACTGTTAGCCCCCTTTGAGGTTTATGGTGGTATTTATACACACAGCATCAATCACATGAAACAAGGAGGGGATTTATAGTTTGTTTTAAAGACTGCAAATGCAATGTAATGCAAATAGCATGCCTCATGGGCATTTACATTTAATGGGAAAATTACAGATGCAAAAGATTGGTAGAACAAATTTTAAATTGACTTTATTACATCTAGTGCTTTTCAGAGAATACTATTAAAAAAAAACGCGAGGAGATATGGTAATGGAGTTCTACACTGTAGCTTGACAGCTTAAATTCCACTTAACTGACTTTGCTTGCATCTTTCTGTTTACATTACTTCTTCCAATGAGTTTGGCTGGCAAGATCTCTGGATCATAAACTGATTAGAAGCTTTGATTCTGTTTTGTTTCCTTTTTGGGGTTGGAATATTTAACGTGTAAAGCTGATTGTATCTTGCTAACTGTTTTTAACTAAGTTTTATCATCAGAGTTTTTTAATGTAGATACAGCTAGGAACAGCTCTTTGAATCTATTACCACCTTTATATGTGACCATACATACATAGTCCTTAATTTGTATGAGCTTCCTATATTTCCTCTTTATCTCTATAGATAGAACAGAAAGAGATGGCTGCATTACTTTGCTCGATGATGATGGAGCAAACATTCAGAACTAATCTCAGCTACTTATGGAAAGCCCATTCTTTCTCAAAAAACAGGTTTATTTCCCAGTATTCCCTTGTGGCTACAAACACTTCTCCTGGAATGAAGAGCATTTGCTGTTGCAATTGAAGGTTGTTATCATCATTTGTTGACTTATGGTAGATCCATCTGAAAGGTGTTGGTGGGTCTCCAGCTCACCTTCAGCAGACCAGATGAAGCCCTGGTTCAAACAGGTGCAACTGTTCTTGCTTCAGGGAAGCTGTGCCCAATTACACAAAGGCTGATTTAACACCCTATAATGATTGCTATATTCCCATCCCATTCAGGTCTCAAATGAGCAAATAATTGAAGGTGTTTCTTAAGCCCATTCCAATTGAGTGAAGATTGAAGCACATGTGTTGTTTTTAGTCTGTTTTGCAGCCAGCAGCAGAGCAGCCTCTCTACATGCTGAGACCTGCTTTAGGATGGTAGAAGCCTTCCGCCCTTTGTTCCTTCAGATTTCCAAATCTTTGCTGTCACACAACATAACACCCGTGAAAATGCTTTACAGACCTGCTCATCATGCCATATTTTAGCCACAGCATAAGCAAATGATGATGTGACCTTTCAAGAGCATAAAGCATGTAGTCAAAGATTACTAGAGCTCAGCCTGTTAGGACTGCGTCTTTCCAAGATTTCAAGCAGAATCTCCCTGAAATGAATGCCATCCTCTTTCTTTGCTTCTATTCATCATGATACATATGCATGTACCCTTGAGATACCCTATAAACTTGTTATCACCAAAAGGCCACGATTAAGAAAGGAGATGATTTGCTACCCATTAGTGACTCAATCAATTCTACTATAGTCAGTGAATATTTGTTATCGTCATCCACAAATACCCCTCCTGGATTTCTGTATCCCTATTTTCAGTTTTTGTAGGTCTCTCTTTCATCTTATAGAGTAATACCTTACAAGAAGACTTATAACAAACTATGTGACATCTCAGTGCATTTATTAGTGAGGAACTGAGTCAGAGCAATGTTTGCTCTTTGTCCGGTCCTGACAGATATATTCTCCAGGTGTTGTCACCCATAACAAACACATAATGGCAGAGAGCAGCCTATATTAACATTTGAGCTAATACAAACATGCACTGTTTAAGCAATTCACCTGAGATTGACTGCCTTGCCGTTGTGACTTTTGTTTAAGGTTGTAATCCCATGCGATGACATTCTCCTCTGCAGCAGTATGTTAGCAGCAGGCTTGGGAGTGTCACGATGATGAGGAAACCATAGGCTCCGGAAGCGAGAGCAGAAGTGAAACAAACTTTCACACTCAGAAGCCATTAATGAAGTAAACACACTTGAACGTTGACAGGTAACTCACAAAGCCACCTACCAGTCTTGTTCCAAATCAAACCAACAATTACACACACACACACCAAAAAAAACCAAACTATTTGTAAACAAAATTCACAGTCATTTTTAAGTTAGATTATCTCATGCTGGCCAAGCATCTAATGCCTGAGCAGACACAGGAATGTCAAAGTAGAGAAGGAAACGGCCTCTTTTCCACCAGCACAGCGGACTCTGCATCCATTTTTATGTTTCTGATGATCCATAAAGAAAGTACATTTACTGCAAGGATGCACATCATAATGGAGAATCCAAAGCCTTCAACACCACTAAATGTGGTTACATTTGCTTTAGGCACTGTGAGTATCACAAGTATCACTGTTTTCAAGAAACTACTCATCAAGTTTAGCCATACCTGGAAGAATATAGATAGCTGAAGCTAAAATTGCAGTGCACAGAGACACATGCTGTCCCTATATTGACGGGTAACCATGTGCTCGTGTGGGATGAAGTGGAGAATTGCTTCTTGTTGTGGAAGGTTGTCGAGGCAAACATGCACAAATCACAATATTTGGACCAGTTTTGTAACCCACAAATGATGGGTTTCTGCAGAACTTAATGAAATGATGATTTAAACCCCCTCCCACTCCCAATTTATCTTTCAACAAGAACTAATATTTTTTCTGGAGATAATAAAATAAAATAAAATACACTGGCACGATGTGTATCAAGACAGAAAAAAAGATATAAAAATATTGAGCCCCTTAAATTTCAAGTGCAATTGTCTTTCCTGGTAAACATTTTCCACATCTCCAAAAACAAACACTATTCAGAGTTTAGCCCAAGCTTCTGAGACACCAATTACACTGCAGCACTCAAGGACTGTCATCTGAATGTAAAGACAAATACTGTCCAGACAGCACATACCAGCTGCCAGTTCCTGTGTAGCAGGATACTCCCTCACCTTCTGTTTTAGGTTTCTGAAAGATTGTTTTCTTTTAAAATGGCAGGTTCCCTCCATTCCTCCTTCGCTGCTCACAGTGAGACATGTCATCTGATACTAATTTGTACTCGCTTTGTGTTTTGACTTAATTTGATTAATAACTATATCCTTTAATGGCAGTGTGACTTAACAATATGCTATTATGTTGGTGCACTGCACTTCGGCATCTAGAAGCCATTCATCTGCATCACAGCAACATTTTGAAACTAATTCAAAGTGGCATTTTTCTGTACCTCTTTACCACAGGGTAGAGGCCTGCTCTTCTACTGGAATTGCCAGCTAAGAGCTGCAGGCCAAATCTGGCTTGAATTTATCCAAAGACTCCTCTTAGTGCTCACATTCCAGGCTGGCTATCTATAGAATTGTTTCACCCCTTTTCTCACCCTTATCCTATTGATTGCCTTCTATGTCTTTTTTCTTCTTCCTTTTCTTTTTTCTCTTTCAATTCCCTCATGCATTCATTTTAGATATTTCAGAGTTTGTTAGTACAATACTCCGCACTGACAAAACCGTATCAATATGGTAAGAATTTACCAAGGAGCTTACAAACACACATTGCCATAAATAAATAAATAAGAATAATTTTGTGACAGAGACAGATAAAGGAGGATAAAAGAGAAAGGAAAAAAAAAAAAAAAAAAGAATTTATCACACCTCAAATTAAGTATAATTGAACTTTGCAGTGTCTTAAGACATAACACATGCTGCCTGGTGGATGGGATGAAACTAGTAAGCTTTGACACTGTGTGGGGAGGAAAGGAAATTCAATGAATTCCCAGCAGCTCCAGATAAACTTAGGAGAAGATATCAGTGCACAAAGTGTGTTTGTGTCATCAACACCAGTGGAGCAATTTGCAGATGAAAAGAGAAAGGCAAAGTTGAATACAGGGCAGTTGAATACAGGGCAGTGGCATGTGGTATGTGTAATTCTGCTCGTGATGCACCTCCAAAAAGGGGAGGGAAAAAAAAGAAGGAAAAAAAAGGGGGGGGGGGGGCGGGAAATCTAAGGAAATCCAGGAAGGTTTCAAGTTTTAGGAAATGCAGGAAAAATGCAAGAGGAGCCAGTGCTTGGGAGGAAGAGGAGCAGAGTCAGCTCAAGAAGGGATGTCGCAAAGCTGAACTTTCCTATTGCTGACAGCAGTCAGTAACAGCTGCTTAAGGTTCTTGCTCCTGTAAAAGAAAGCTTGAAACTAACACCCTTGGTGCCACAAAGCAAACCTGTACGGGCCTTGAGGCAATTAAAAAATCATACATAGTAAAAAAAAAAAAAAAAAAAGAAAAGAAAAGAAAAGAAAAATAATTGCCCTTACTGTGGAAACAATGGCTGTAAAGTTTATACATGATGGTTTCCTTTGTATTAGACCAATGCTTGCCACATGCCAAAACATAAACCAGATTCCATAATATGTAGGTTTTTCATAATTTCCTCAGATTAGTTTTTTATTAATGCCTGTCAACAGCAAATGATAGGCATGTGTTGCATTAACAGCCACTACAA